ATCAATTAAAGTTCAATTAAACTTTCCTAATCACAGTTCTTTTAGGGAATTGTGATAGATAAGATTACTGTCAGAACTCCTTGGAACAAACTCGCCCAGAAACATAGAAACTGATGTAAATTACATCAGGAGCAGGAGCAGATAGATGTGCTGGTGTGGAATAGCAGTGTATAGTAGGCAGCTGTTACTGCATCTTACCATTAGATAGTAAAGCTGTAGGTTTGCCTTTAGCAAATGGCTGGCTTGAAGCTGACAGAAAACAACAAAGCCAGTATAACTTACACTAGTAGAACATTATCCTTGGTTATTTCAGGGGAAACTTTACTGGCTTATGTAAAGTTATCCCAGTTTAGGGAGTCTGTGTCCATCTATCACTGATGGTATCCTTGTAAATGTATTACTTCTCCAAGCTCAATGTGAGTCTATAAGTATTCTAAAAGGTCTGCAAGAACTTCAGTAGTTAGTCCCATGTCACTGAGCCATCTTGTAAGAAAGGAATACTTCTTATTTATTAGTATGTGAGGTAAAATTCTGGCCCTAATGAAGTCAACCTGATTTTTGCCCTTCCTCGCTGTAGTCAGGGTTTTGCCCCATATACCTTAACTTAGGAGTCAATTGTGCCTTGTAGTCACCTGCCTTTGTTATGGGTCCTACAGAACTGCACTGCCCCAGGGAAATATCTCCAGGAATTCCCTAGCATGCAGTAGGGGCAGGCCAGCCACTACATCCAGTGTGTTTCTCCCAGGCTTGGTTGGCACCAGGTGGACCTCTCATTATGTGCACTAAAGTCCCAGTGCAAGCCCTGGCCTAAGTCCTATTACCAGTCTGCAATGCCTACAGTTACAAAAAAATTGCCTATATTGGACTATTTTCTAGCATATATTACTATAATACTATATGCTTTTTATATAATATATTATAGGGGTACAGAAAGGGAGCATATTGAAAGGGGGGGATTACTAATACCATCCCAACAAGTCAAGTAACCTTCATCACTTCTAATAACAAGTAATGCAGGATTTTTCTGTTGAGTTTTTCACATTGCCTTTAAGGTGAGTTGCACTACCACAGCATTCTTTAAACAGCAGTTTGGAGTGGTTAGGATGTAAATCAAAATGAATATTAGAAAATAAGCATTATGCAATCATAAAGGGGTTAATCACATGACATCTAAACATGGTAAATGGTTTTCCAAGGGGTTAAATAAATACCCCCAAGGAGTTATTCCTTTCTAGTAAAGATATTTGGACTTAAGAATTTTGCTCCACAGCTGGAAAAAATTACAGCCAAAGAACTCAAAGGAGGGTCATGCTGTAATAAAGTCAGGCCTTTATAAAATTTTTCTTAGGCCAAAAGTTAAACCTCATTTTGTATAGGCTCCCTTAGGTCAACATTCAAGGCCTTCCCTCTGACTCCAGAGGGCTTTTGAACATTTAGACCAGTCACCCTACACATTCAGTTCTTTAGCACTCATTTTTCTTATGCAGTATTGAGATGAATGTACTTCTTCTTAGCACATCTTCTCCTTCCACCAATGCCTTGTCTACCTACTTTAATAACATTTGCAAGGCCACTTTGCCAGCAGGAGCTGCTGACACACTGGGCCAGATTCATAAAAGAATTTGTTAAAGCAACATCAAACCTTCCCAGATTTATTCAAATACTTTTAGACTTTTGAAATGTTAGATTATGTGCACTGGTGGAGCACAAACTGCACCCTCTCAGAGACAGCTCAGAAAAGACCAAGAAGCATGGATATCTCTCTAAAGATCATGATTTTCTTGCTTCCCCTTTGGTGCTGGAATGGACAAGTAGTAATTAAAGCACCACCACGTCTTCTGCATCAGTGTTCCCATGCTTAAAAATGGCGGCAGGGGCTCTTGAACTAAAACTTTAATTCAAGTGCCCCCACCACTATTTTTAAGAGTAGGGACGCTGATACATGAGATGCATGAGGCTGCTGGAGCATGCTCCAGCAGACTTGATTTATTGAGTTTGCTCTGACGTGCTGGAATTCCAGCACATTGAAGCAGTCTCTGTGGTCGTGTAGGTGCCCTCCATTGTGAGGTTCTAGGAAATGTGCATTCGCTTTTATTAATGCACATTAACTAAAGAGCACTGTTTTAAGTGATGCTTAATGTGCATTAGCCTATTTTAATG